AGCAGAACAAAAACTAGAACATCCAGCAACTTGTTGTCAACTAAGCAAGTGTTTAAGGCTTTTGGCGCTATATAAATAAAATTGAATTGAGTTATAAATTTTGCTTGAACTAAAGTGGGCGGAGCCTGAACAACGCTCATACGTACTCTTTAGCCTTGAGCTCGGGTAGGTCCAGGTACCAGTGCTCATCACTGATGATCCTCCGCTCGTCCTCCTCCAGCTGCTTCTTCGTCTCTGCATCCAGACGTCTCTGCATGAACTGTGGACACACACACGTCACCTTCAGCTGACGTTTCTGTGAGGTTTTAACCACACCTGCGCTCATGAATGATGATTTTACTGCACTCAGCTGTGATTGGCTGAGGTCTCCCTGCAGAGAACCACAGCTGTTTTTCTCAGTGTGAAATCTTCCACATCTGCAGACCAGATTTTTAAAGTAAAGGTGAAAATCAGCTGAGAGGATTTTATTCTGATTGGTCAAGGCATCAGGCCGCAGAAACATCTTCTCCACGTTGGTTCAGCCTCCCCAGGAAACAAACCAGCACCCTGCAGGTTATAACCGTCCCCTGGACGTCATATCCGGTTCTGATACCGTTTTTAAAGCATGACTTTCAGCCGTTGTTCCCATTATTAGTGACGTAACACAAATACCTGAGCATCCACGCCGGTTCAGATTCGCATCACGTGACCGATCATTTTAAAGTCAGAGCTTATCTTTAGCGTCTCAGACTGGCACACATTATTTATTAATAAATTACATTTACAGCCTGTTATTAACTCTGCTGCACGCCGATTTACTCTCCGGGTCACACTTGACATCAGGTAATAAAATTCAGCTTCTGTGTGAGATTTAAAACTTCATGTGAGGCAGAAAACCTTAAAGCATCAGATTTCTGAGTGGAGTTATGCGCCGGCGCATTACAAAGCTAACGTTCTGCTAGCTATCGGCTGCTAGCTGCTCTCGCGTGTCCGTTAGCACGCGCAGCTTCACTCACCTTCATCCGCAGCAGGTTTTTGGACAGCTTCACCGACTCACTCGCCATCTTTAATCCAAGAGAATGCGGCTAACCGAACCGGAGGACCCTCGGTGCTGCACACCGAGCTAACGCCACGCTAAACGGAGGCAGAAAGAACCGAGCGCCGAGCTGCTTCTCCAGCCCTGCTAATCGAGCTCTGATGTGCAGCCCACCCAGGGGCG